GCCTTATGCTCCCCTTTCTGGTTGTGGGTGGCAGAGGGGGTATAACAGGGATCCGCTCTACTAAGTGCTGTCGGTAGGGGCCATAGCAAGTAAATGTGCTGGAGCGCAGAGAAGCTCACTCCTCATGAGGCTTGGATTCCTGAATTTCAGGCGGTATGGCCTCGTCTTATTCCAAGCCCAAGATTAGATCTGGCTTTCTGAGCCCGTAAATAGCCCTAAAAGCATCTTACTTCTTTTTGTGCTTCATTCACTAGCAAAGAGTTTTCGGTAGAATTCAAATTTTTTCTATTTTCAGTGCGACAAGTGCCTGAAACGATTCAGTCATTCCGGCAGCTACAGCCAACACATGAATCATCGTTACTCGTACTGTAAGCCTTACAGAGAGGGTATGGTAGCAGCGGCGGTGGTGGCGGTAGCCGGTAACGGTAGTGCTGGTTCGGAAAACCCGTCACTAGCCGGTACTCCAAATCCGACACCTCTCGAAGTACCGCTCATGGGAACACAGCTCAGTCCTCTGCTCACTCCAGCGTCTCTTGTTTGATTCATTTCTCGACGGAATTCCTCCGTCTCTCTCCGCTCTCACTGTTCCTTCTTGCCCTCTTCCTCTTCCTTTACTTATGTGCAACAACACAAATGCCTCACTTTTTTGCCAGATCTCGTGTGATATATGTATGTTATCGATTTTGTTCTGTTTTTACTATATATATTATGCCGCTCCCCGTATCTTGCCATGTGTACATATACGTATATGGTGCTGCTTTCCTTGTCGTCGTCACATTTGTTAGGGTTTTTGCCATATTTATAGCTCAACTCACCCTGAGAACCCTTCCTCTCAAGGTGCTGTACACCCTATTCGGGAAGGGGGTGATCGCTGTCAGCTGATTGGTGCTTGGATGTACATAGAAAAGTTCGGTATCTTGGACTGCTCTCATACTTTGACTCACCAGAAAAGTAGAAGTGTTACAGGATAGGTATTGATTTTGCGCGCATGGAATCAATATCCATGATTTCCGCGAGCAGTCACTGAGAGCAGGCCTATACCGTGCTTCATCCTCCTTTCTATAGTAATTTTCTCACGGCCGGTGGTTGTATGTTCCTCGTCGTAGTTGTCTTCAGAAGTGGTACGTAGTGCTAGTCCTTGTCGAATAGAAGTTTCCTTCGTGTTTTGTCGCTCTTCTCCATCTCTCTCCCACTCTATTCGCATAGTATACTTGTTAGTTACTCGCATGCTGAGTTCATTTATAGTCAATTTCGTCACATGTGCAAGTGCGCTTTTATCGGATCAGTTCACAATCACTTGAGACCAATTTCTTCATGTTTCTGTTGAGATTCCCTTACACGGCGGTTGTCATCATTATAATAACGAATTTAATAAAGAAGCATATACGTTACTTTGAAAATGACTTGCTCTCTGTGATCCGAGCCTGATGAGCGCTCATTTCAGCCGCCGGGTGATTAATGCATCACGCCGACTTGGGGCAAGTGGGGATTCTAAAATGATTGAAATTTTAATGGTGAAGGGGTGGGGAGCACTCGGGATCAACCGTGCATTGGGCCGATTTATGAATGGCCGCTCAATGTCCTTTGGGGGAGGGACACTAGTTAGGTGAGCCAGGTACAAAACTCGCGATTAAGCCTTAGGGAGAAAAAGGGATTGTGTGGCAGTTTAGGAGCAATTTTTGGAGGGAAAGGGATTCTGTACCAGTTTGTGAGCAATTTTTGATCTCCCCGGCATTTTTCCCTCCCTGGACTCAGTTCTTGTCAGCTATCGGCGGTTTTTGAATGACTGCTTCGAACTTCTCTCCTAAAGACTAGAGCATCTTCAGTTGTTCTTCCCCCCAGGGTTGGGAGCTCCAAGGGTCACTTTTTTGAATTTGGCACCATTCGAGGCACTTCCAGCTCGAAACTGCCTGTGAGCAAGTGGGGATCAGGAAAGTGGTCTCTAGATGCGATTTTATCCAAAAGCCACATCACTCTCCCCTCTCCGCCGTTGCCCTTGCCACAATTGATCCACAATTAGGCTTGGTTTGAATGATGAGGTCTGTTTGGATAGGTTTCTTAACGAGTCTTC